TAAATCTTACTTGTTAGCCAAGAATAATAATCCTCCTAATTTAAATAAATAAAAACAAGGAAATAAAAGGAATATAGATAAAACAATAATTATTCATGCATTCTAAAGCCAGAGGGGATCGTATTTAGCCAAATAAACGAGAGCGATCTCGTCTCCATCAGTTAGGCTATTTTTGGAGCAGCTTCTTGGGGCGTGGTCCGGTCCATTGGGGTTGTTGGACGAGGGTACCACCATCGTGTTGCTCTTAGTGTGTTTGTCAACTATGGAAGGGCCTAGTATAAGTTTAATTGTATTGTGGGTGTGTTGTGTGTTTTTGTCTTTTTTTTTTTGTTTTTTTTTTTTAAGAAATACCCAGAAGTGTAGTGGGTTAAAGCAGGAAATCACATATCTAATAGTTCAAACAGTAATCAGAGGCAACCAAAGCCAAAACCAAGAGAGAAAGAGAAAGAAATAGGAAAAGGAAAATAGCTGCCAAAGCAAAAAAATCTAGAAACTGGACTAATAGGTGCCCCAGCAAAATAAGGTTGTGCCTCGAGTAGGCTGAAACAATAAAACTAACGACACTACTCAAATCTAAAAGATGGGTAGCCAAGCTGATCCATATGTACAAGCATGCGAAGGCGGAGAGGTGCGTCGTCCAAAAGAAAGATGCGCCTCTGGGGAGTGGAGGCACCAATGCAAGCAAGAAAGTTGGCGGGTCGGTTCGCCTCGTGGAAGATGTGTGATATCCGGTAGCAGATCAATTGGAGTTTGGATCTAATGCACATGAGAGGGTACTGAATTTGCCACGAACCCTGGTGTCATGAGCCCAAGAGGGTGACAATAACGAAGACGTCTAGCTCAATCCAAATGTGAGAAGAGATAGAGATTACGATCTGAAGACCGGTCTGAAGCTCCTGGACCTCTGTGTCATAACTCGAGCTGGTGTGAAAAGAGGTGTGGAAGACGGTAATGAGCTCTCAAATGTAGTCCCTAATCATGCCCCTCCTCTAAGGTTCCGGTGAGTCGGTCGTAGGATCCGTTAGTGTTTAGTTTAACTCAGGGCCAGGGGGATTCAAGTCTCAGCCAAACAACAGTTCTGGGGCGTGGGTGCTTGACAGACGGCATCAGGTACAGTGTAATGTGATGGAGCGGTATGCAGCCTGTCCAGTCTCTGAGAGTGAGTCTTCCTAGAGCTATGAAGAGAGAGAGGTGTCGGTCGACCTGAAAAACGACATGAGAGCATATAAAAGTATTACTCCTATGCTTCGCACTATTCTTTTATGTCCAGATGGACCACAGGATCAGACAAGAAAAGAGGAAGTCCACGTGTCTACAATGTGTGAGTTGTGAGAAGAAACTCATAAGCTCAAAGAGCTATCTGTGGTGGGAAGGTATATATGTGTATAGGTGGTAAAATACTCCCACATTCTCCTTGCAACGTCACTCTCTAAAAATAAAATTGGATAAGGTCTCCGTCTGGAAATGTCCGGTCTCAGTACAACAATAACACCACGAGGGGAAAGAAAATCCCTCGTCTACATCACAGTGTCTATCAGAATACGATGCAGAAGGAGGTGCCAAAGGAAAACATAGATGGTCAGGGTAAGAATGTTGGTCCAAATGGCCCCGAAGATATGGTTAGGCCGATTACCCAGCCGAACTTCCCTCCAACCTGAGATCGTAGAGAATGCACTTGAATATGTTAGTTTCCACCTCATACTATCTGAAATGTCCTTCAAAATGAGAATCTATTGGATCTGGTATAAAACATGGTCACTAAAATTGGCTCTCTGGAGCCCAACGCCCTCTCTAACCTATCCATGTCCCAAGCCCCCACCACTGATCCCAAAAGCTAACATCCCCCTCACCCAGTGTCCAGAAGATGTGCTCCTGGTTGCATCTACCTATGCTGGTGAGTCGTCTCCATGGTCTACTATCACGAACGGTGGCAGTCACTCTACAGTGGTGACTGGCACCTCTAGGGCAATATATCCCTCGAAGTTACTGAGCACAAAACGACTTCCCTTCCCTGAAGCGCCACCACAACTTAAAAGAGAAGGTCGTGACTACATCCGATAGGTGACGGATCCTGAAGCTACCCTCAGAAAAAAGGCTGACAAACAGAGTCGCACTTCACCCAGTGGACTATCTCCTCTTCTGAGAGCCTTCCCCGTGCCCTCATAAATAGCGAGGCATGATCTGATCTAACTCTTGAAGAGTGGACTGGGAGGGATTGAGGACCATAAGGAGATGAAGCGGAATGGCGCTAAGGGTACTCTTGATAAGTGAAAGCTGACCCCCAAAAGAAAGGTGTATGTGTGACCAACCGAAAAGTCGATCAAACATCCTCTGCCTAACATCTGCAAAGAACGCACTTTTCATATGATCCTTGTACAGAGGGGTGCCGAAGTAGGTGATGGGGGAGATCACCACACGCGAAGCCAGTGCGCTTGTGGACCTACTGCACCCAACGATTTGTAATGTGAGTGGAAAGGATGAAGGAGCTCTTTTGCACGATGACGAGCTGGCCAGTGAAGCTATAATGCTCTAGAAGGTGCACAAGCTCTGCCATTCCACCATTATCCGCACGGGTGTGGATAATAATGTCATCAACATAAGAGATGTGTGAGATGAGAGGACCATAGCAACTAGTGTTGTAGGTCATCCTCGGGTTATCATAGATGAAAGCGTCAAGGCACCAACGAGAGATAGTCAGCAACCAGAACAAAAAGCGAGGAGGAGAGAGGGTCTCCATATCGGAGGCCTCGATTGCCATTAGAGAAAAAAAGGAGTTTTATCAATACAAGGCCCAAAAGATTGGTAAACTATCAATGCGGGGCCTGAAAGATTTTTTTTTTCTCAATTCGAGATTTAAATGTTATAAAATTATCAAATAAAGACTTGAAAGATTGGTAAACTATCAATGCGGGGCCTGAAAGATTTTTTTTTTTTCAATTCGAGACATAAATGTTATAAAACTTTAAAATTAAGTCTAGAATTAACAAAACTCATAACACCATTAAATTTAGAGTTTAAAAAAAAAAGATTGGTGTCTAAATTTAGAGTGTAAAATATATATATAATATTTAATTATTACATTTTATTTTCATATTCATTCACATTTTTAAACTATCAATGCATATGAATGAAATTTCAATAAGCATAATCGCCGATTTAAATATAATAATTATATTAATTATTTCCTTAATATAATTACTTGCATTATTTATGAGGACAAGCTAGACATGGCCACGGGCCGAACCGGCCCGTGGCCCGACCCGCGGACCGGCACCGGCCCGGTCCGAACCGACATGGAACGGGCCTCCTAAGGGCCGGTTCGTTGAACCGGAACCGTAGGGCCGCGGTTCGGTCCTGGTTCTATTTTTTTTTTATTTTTGTCCCGCCGGGCCGGGCCAAGCCAAATTCTTTGTTTTTCTTAAGGGCCGTACCGACCCGTGAACCGCCGGGCCGGTGAACTGGCGGTTCGGGCCGTTTTTATGAACCGCCCTTGGTTCTTAGCGGGCCGGTCGCGGTCCGGGTGTTGGATGGCCCGTGGCCCGACGGGCCGGGCCGGGGCTTGGCCCGGCACCTGGTCACGTCTAGGACAAGCACTCAAGAGTACGACTGGTTATAAATTATGTAAAAATGTTTGAATGAAAAAGTGAGTTAACGAATAGAAAAAAATTGATAGAAGAATGCAAATTTCTTAAAAATGTGAATGAATATGAAAATAAAATGTAATAATTAAATATTATATATTTTCTTAAAACTCTAAATTTAAACACAAATCTTTTTTTTAACTCTAAATTTAACAGTGTTATGAGTTTTGTGAATTCAATACTTAATTTGATAGTTTTATAACATTTAAGTTCTCAATTAAGAAAAAAATTCTTTCAAGACCCGCATTGATAGTTTACCCATCTTTCGGGTCTTTAATTTGATAGTTTTATAATATTTAAGTCCCGAATTGAGGAAAAAAATCTTTTAGGCCCCACATTGATAGTTTACTCATCTTTCGGGCCTTATATTGATAAAACTCCAAAAAAAATATAAAAAAAAAATTAAGAGGGTGATTGTTTACAAAACAATTTACTCACTTTTATTTCAACTCAAAATTTAACTCAACTTTAACTCAATCTCACTATCTTTAATATTATTCATATAATTAAATAATACAAACTAATCATTCTTATACATCACATCAACTTTAATTCACTATTCATTCACTCACATAATTTTAACTACCTATCATTTACAATCATTTATCTCTTACTTTTAAATCAAATCAATTTAAATTATTTTATTTTAAATATTATTTTAATACATTCTTAAAATTTCACTACAACTAACTATACCACATTTTTTAAAATTAACTATAATTAACCAAAATAATTCAATTTGAACAAATTATTTCATAAACAATGAAGATGTGGCAATTAAATAAAACTAAGTCTGGAATGACATGGATAAAACTATGTAAAATTAACAAAACTCATTCCAATGCAAAGAGACTAGGTCTCTGCTTGGGTCTAAAATAGACTTAAGGGTAGACCGAGTCTCTTTTTCTGACTGCCACATCAGCATGACCCAGCCTACTTTTATTTGTATTGGAGAATAAAATTTTTTAAATTAAGTCTATTTATTATGTGTCATATAATTTTTTTATATTTTTTGGGTATTGAACCCAAAACATTGTTAATGCTCTAAGGTTTTGTACGTCTTATTCGCCCCCATCAATTTTTAAAATCTTAATTAGATAAAGTTTGCCTGTCCTGCACGTGCTCCTGGCTACTCCTATGCCATCACTCTCCATAACATCAATAAGCCTTTGACCAGTCTCTCTCTCTCTCTCTCTCATTGCTCTGCCATTTTCTTGCAGCATTTCTATGCTTTCAACAATTTCACCAAAGAGAAAAAACAAAAAAAATTGATTTTTTTTTTTGTTTAGTTCTATCTCAATCGGTGTAAAGTTGGAAGTCTTTCTGTCTTCCCATTCCCCGTATTCTCGCTGTTGATCAATGGTGATGGAGGTGGTGCACGAGGACGACGCCGGCGACGGCGGGATGCACTGCGCGAACCACCCCTTCAAGAACAGCGCCTCCCCCGGCGGCATCTGCGCCTTCTGCCTCCAAGAGAAGCTTGGCAAACTCGTGTCCTCCTCTTTCCCCATGGCCGTCTTCCCCTCTTCCTCCTCCTCCCCTTCCCCTTCCTTCAGATCCGACATTGACGCCGCCAGCGCCGCCGCAGGCGGCCTCCCCCTCCGCCACCTCGCCTCCTCATCCCAGACCGACGCCGACACCAACGACGCCTGCTATTACTCGAGGAGATCCTCGAGGCTGCCCTTTGTCCTGACCCACAGGAAAAACAAAAACAAAACCAAAAGTAAAAACATCAACTTGGCCGATGGGAGCTCGGAAAATTCGAGCATCGTCTTCAAGAGGAGCAAATCCACCGTGACCCCAAGACGAGGTATGCATTTCTTGGACGAGACCTTAGATAGCCCAAACAAAAGAAGCTTCTGGTCGTTTTTCTCCTCCTCAAAGCACTGTAATCCCAGGAAAAACGACAAAGATTCGAACTTTACGCTTAATGTCGGTAAGAGAGAAGAATTCGTGGCTGTTGACGAAAGCCCGGATGTGGGTTTGGGCCAGAAGGTGTCGAGATCCAGATCCGTTGGGTGTGGGAGTAGGAGCTTTTCAGGTGATTTTTTCGAGAGGATCTCCACAGGCTTTGGCGATTGTACTCTGAGGCGAGTGGAGAGCCAGAGGGAGGGGAAATCGAAGGTACAACCGCCGGTGCAGAGGAATAATGGTAATTGCATCAAGGAGAGGGTTAGGTGTGGTGGGATCTTTAGTGGCTTCATTATCACTTCATCTTCATCCTCTTCATCATCTCTGGTTTCTGAGGATAATAACAGCAATAATAATAATAATATGAATAAGTGTAATAAAAATGGAAAATCAGTTTCAGTGGGTGACTCATTGTCTCATGGGAGGAGCAAAAGCTGGGGATGGGCACTTGCAAGCCCAATGAGAGCTTTTTCAAGCAAGCAATCAGCCTCTGGGAAGAAGGATTCAGCCAAACAGGTCACTCCTAATTTGGCTGCAATTCCTTCTTTGTTGGTCTTGAAATCTGCTAAGTGAATTAGGTGATAATTGTTATAATACTTTTTTCTTCTCTTTCATTTAGTGTTTGTGGTGTTATTATTACTCTGTTTATTTGTTGGAAGACATTGTTGGTGAAGTTATTTTTAACTTTTTTTTAAGCTGATTTTTCTGTGTGTTTTATTATTAGTCTTGAGTTTGTTCTGTGATGGTTGAGCTCATGTTAAGGATCTTGATTGTATTGAAGTACATTATTTTATTTTATTTTTTCTTTCCTTTTTGTATATCAAATGTTAGATGAGTCTGATAAGATGAGAGGCTGGGAAATAAATGGTTCCATGTGGAGGATTTTTTTTTTTT